GACGCCTTTCGTTTTGCTGGTCGAGGCTTCCTTGGCTGTCGCAAGTTGCAGAAGCTCCATCATCGCGATCCCTCTCCGCTCCGTTGTTAGATCGCTGTTTTTTTTTGTTGTTGTTGGGTTGTCGTCACCGCTGCAAGGGCTAGGGTGTGTACTAGCCTTGTCTTTCCATTGCGAATCTCGGGTGTTGAAATTTCTTATCGGTGGCAACATTCTGGTTCTCGCCGGCGCTGATTGTGAAGGAGAAGGGTGGTGTTTGGCTGCAGGAGTGAGGCTATTCCAACCCTGGTTTACTAAACCTGGGATAGTTATTCCAACCCTGGTTTCGTAAACCCGGGATAGCCCAGATTCGGCCCGTTTGACCAGATCCGATCCGAGGTCCGATCCGTTTGTCCAGATCCGACCCGCTCGTACAGATCCGACCCGTTTGCCTAGATCCGACTTGTTCTCGGATCCGACCCGTTTGCCCAGGTTCGGCCCGAATACCAATTCTACTTCATATTTTCTTCTCTGTTTTGCTGGGTAAGACATGGCCTCCACTTCAGATTTGTTTTCTCCCACTTCTGGTCTTCATTCTTCCATGACTTCTGTTAAACTCAATGGGAAGAATTATATACTGTGGGCTAAATCAGTTAAAATTTTTCTCAAAGGTAGAGGCCTTGGTAATCATCTGACTAAAGAGAAACTCAAGGAAACTGATGTTTCTTTTGATGCATGGGAAAAGGAAGATGCTCAGATCATTTCTGTGATGATAAACAGTATTGAACCCCAAATTAGTACAACTTTACTTTATTTAGATACTGCAAAGGAGATATGGGACAGATTGCAGCAACTGTATTCTGGGACAGGTAATATCACTCATGTTTATGAGCTTTGTAAGCAGTATTTTCATCTTGAACAAGGTAGTCACAGTATAGAAGAGTATTATTCCAAAGTTATGGGCATTTGTGAGGAGCTGAATATGTATCAGCCCATTACTGCTGATGTTCGCAGTATGCAACAACAACGTGAGGACTTTAATGTTGTTCGTTTTCTTACTGGTTTGTCCTCAGTTTATGAGTCTTTTCGTTCACAGATTATGGGCAGTCCCACACTTCCATCTCTTGCTGATGTGTTTTCTAGACTTCAACGCGCTACACTTGTCAGTGATACCTCCACTTTGAATACTGGGCAGAGTGGTGAACGTTCAGCATTGATTGTTTCAAAGGGTGAAAATACTGTTTTCCGTGGAGGTCGTGGGGGACGCTCCACACGTGGCGGTCGTGATTCACGGGGAGGACGTGGTCGTGGCAGGGAATCACGAAAATGTACTCATTGTGGTCTTTCTAATCATACTGTGAATTTTTGTTGGGACCTTCATGGGAAACCATCTAGTTATGCAAATCAAGTTTCCTCCTCTCCGAATGATGTTGCTTCTGGATCTCATAATGTAGTTGAATCAGATACGGTCCCTGTCTCACGTGATGAGTATACTCAGTTTTTTTCTTATAAGCAAGCATCTAATTCATCTTCCACGGCTACCTTTGCCCAGTCAGGTACTGCACCCACATGTCTATTGTCTTCCACTCGCAGTCCTTGGATCATAGACACTGGAGCATCCGATCATATGACTGGATGTTCTTCTCTTCTATCTGATTTTAATTCTGTACCTCCTTCTCAAAGAGTTACCCTTGCTAACGGTTCCTCCGCTAAGGTTTCAGGTTTGGGGACAACTTAACTTAGTGATTCCTTGTCTCTCTCATCTGTTTTATATGTTCCTCAGTTTCCCTTTAATTTAATGTCTGTCAGTAAGCTTACTAAATCTCTTCAGTGCTCTGTTACATTTTATCCTACTTTTTGTGTGTTTCAGGATCTCAAGACGAAGAAGACGATTGGTACGGGGAATGAAACTGGTGGCTTATATTACTTTGATGTGGCACCTTATCCTGTGGCTCTTCAGTCTTCTCTGTCTCCATTCCAGTGGCACTGTCGTCTTGGACACCCGTCACTTCAAGTTTTGCAGCGTCAAGTTCCTAGTCTTAGTAATTTGAAATTCTTGTCATGTGAGGTTTGTTAACTTAGTAAGCACCATCGTGTGTCTTTCAAGTCTAGGGTTAATAATCGTGTCTCTAGTCCTTTTCATTTGGTTCATTCAGATGTATGGGGTCCAATAAAGCATTCTTCAATCAATAAATTTCATTATTTTGTGACATTTGTGGATGATTATTCTCGCCTGACTTGGTTGTTTTTAATGAAAGATCGTTCTGAATTATTTTTAATTTTTCAAAAATTTCGAAAAGAAATCAAAACTCAGTTTGGCTGTCCCATTCGTATTTTACGTTCCGATAATGCTAAGGAATATTCTGCAACCCCTTTTGATACCTATCTTAGTGATAAAGGAATTATTCATCAAAATTCATGTGTTTATACTCCTCAACAAAATGGAGTTGCAGAACGTAAGAATCGACACCTCTTAGAAGTAACCCGTGCTCTTTTGTTTCATATGCGCATGCCTAAACGGTTTTGGGGTGATGCTGTTCTTACTGCCTGTCATCTTATTAACCGTATGCCGTCATCTGTATTACATGGCAAATCTCCACATTCTATTTTATTTCCTGATTCTCCTTTGTTTTCTTTTACTCCTCGAGTTTTTGGCTGTGTCTGTTATGTCCACAATGTTGGTCCTGGTTTTGATAAACTAGACCCACGTGCCACAAAGTGTGTATTTCTTGGATACTCTCGTTCTCATAAAGGTTATCGTTGTTATAGTCCTGTTTCTCAACGGTACTTTATTAGCATGGATGTGACCTTTTGTGAGTCCGTCCCATATTTTTCAGATAGTGATTCAATTCTTGATATTACTTCTGAGTCGCTTCTTCCTGCGGTTCCACTTCCCTCACTTTCTCTTCAGCCTAGATCTCCTTTGCCTGCCCCGTTACAGGTGTACACTCGAAGACCAAAGCCATCTGCTGTCGTGCCTCCTCCGTCGTCTTCAGAGTCTTTGGATCCAACACCTTCCATTGCGTCTGAATCCTTGCCTATTGCACTACGTAAGGCTCCTCGCTCCTGTGTTACTAAACATCCCATTGCTCAGTATGTCTCTTATAATTCCTTATCGCCATCTTTCTCATGTTTTTCCTCTCAATTGTCTACTACATTTGTTCCTAAGACTGTGCAGGATGCTTTTTCTGATTCGGGCTGGAGGAAAGCCATGCAAGATGAAATTGATGCTTTGCATCAGAATGACACGTGGAATCTTGTTCCTTTATCTCCAGGTGTCAAACCAGTTGGTTGTCGCTGGGTCTACACCGTGAAGTATCTTCCAGATGGTTCCGTTGAGCGGTTAAAGCTCGTCTTGTTGCCAAAGGTTATACCCAGACTTATGGTATTGACTATGATGAGACGTTTGCCCCTGTTGCTAAGATTTCTTCTATTCGTGTTTTGATTTCTCTTGCTGCTAATAGACATTGGCCTCTGTTTCAGTTAGACGTTAAAAATGCTTTTTTGCATGGTGACTTAGTCGAAGAGGTTTATATGGAGCAACCACCTGGGTTTGTTGCTCAGGGGGAGTCTCTTCACACTGTTTGTCGCCTTAAAAAGGCCCTATATGGATTGAAACAATCTCCACGGGCTTGGTTTGGAAAATTCTCTGAGGCAGCATTCAAATTTGGTCTTAACAGATGTCAGACTGACCATTCGGTATTTCACCAGCGCACTAAAGCTGGCTTCATCTTTCTTGTTGTATATGTAGATGATATTGTGATCACAGGTGATGATTCTGAAGGCATTGCTAAGTTGAAGTTGTTTCTGCAATATTGATTCCACACTAAAGACTTGGGTAAACTTAGGTATTTCTTGGGTATTGAAGTTACTAGATCCAAGAAGGGTATAAGTTTATCACAACGAAAATATGTGTTGGATTTATTAGAAGAAACAGGTATGTTGGGTGGTCGCCCGGTTGATGCTCCTATGGATTCGAATACAAAACTTGTGTCTGATGAGGGTGATCTATTTAATGATCCGGGCAGATTTCGTCGTCTAGTTGGGAAATTAATTTATCTCACTATCACTCGACCTGATATTTCATATGCAGTTAGTGTTGTAAGTCAGTTTATGGGAGCTCCTAGAATGCCACATTGGATTGCTGTTCTTCGGATTATCCGATATCTCAAGCAAGCTCCAGGTGTTGGGTTACTATATAAATCAAATGGTCATCTCAGGGTGGAAGGTTTTACAGATGCCGACTGGGCTGGTTCTCCTTCAGATAGGAGATCTACTACAGGCTACTGCACATTTGTAGAAGGCAATCTTGTTACATGGCGAAGTAAAAAGCAAACGGTGGTAGCTCGATCTAGTGCTGAAGCTGAGTATAGGGCAATGGCTCATACTACTAGTGAGTTGACCTGGATACAACATTTTCTAAAAGAACTTGGGTTAACAGTTGAAGTTCCTACTCCATTGTTCTGTGATAATCAAGCAGCAGTTCACATTGCCTCAAATCCTGTGTTTCATGAGAGGACCAAACATATTGAAGTTGATTGTCACTTCATTCGAGAAAAGATATTGCTTGGGAGCATCTCTACTCCATTCGTGAAGTCTGAAGATCAATTAGCTGATATGTTTACCAAAGCATTGGGTCATAACCGGTTAAGAACTATCTGTTCCAAGCTAGGATTATTTGATATATATTCTCCAGCTTGAGGGGGAGTGTTAGAATGTTATATATATATATATGTTGGGCCATTATGTAATTACATTATATTAGTAGGCCCTTGTGTTATTAAGGAGACTTGTATCCCTTATATAAGCCTATATAGGCTTATTTGGTGCGTGTAGGTGAAATATATACAGATTTGTTCTCTCTGTTCTCTCTGTTCTCTCTATCTCTCATGGTAAACAACACCTATTAGCCCCAATATCTGTATTTCTCATTATTTTAAATAACTTTGTAGCTGATAGTACAAAGCCCAACACATTCCCAATAAACACAAATCAATCGAATAAGATGCGGTTTTGCATATTACCTCCACTTCTTCCGAGTTCAAGTTACCCACTGCAACATAGTAACTGGAAGACGTCACGATATCCTGCTGGATCGTACCACTTCCTGTGGAGAAGCAGTTGATGTCATTATAGCCTTGGGATACAAAGAAGACACATACTTATTAACTTTTCAACTAACCGTGAATGATATTCCATGATAAGGTCGTGTTAGGATATGATGGGTCCTCAATCCACTTGGCAAATCCTTCATTTCCTGCAATGTTAAAGCTTTAAAATAGTAGTTAGATGATAACCTTACAAAAACAAAAGTCTATATAAAATTTCATTTTACAGTTCTACCAGATCTACCACTTCTGCCTATTAAAACACAAAGTCAAGCACACAATTGTAAAGGATACAAAATAGCGTGAGAAAAAAGAGAGCCAAATTAGAACATTTGCAGGTAAAGATCTGGGTTAGAAATTATCCCATCCTTGGCCGTCATTTATTCTGAAGAAGCATAGAAAGTCGGGGAAATGGTTCATGATTTGTAAATTACTAATCACAAGCACACCTCATAAGCAAGAACCTTAAATGGTTTAGATGAAACATCAATGCCGGCATTATCAGTTTGCTTAGTTTGGACTTTAGGCACATATTCGAAGAAAGTACTATTAGATTAGCATATAGGTTTCTTGGAAAATTGATGATCATTAGATTTCATAGGAGGGGAGAAAAAAGATTAATAACCCTGAAAATTCAGCAATGCTATGTAGGCACAAAAAGCCGTCCACTCCTCCCTAATGCTCATCAAAAACGTATATAGAGACATTAAGTGATAAGTTATTTACCAGCAGCAAGTACTATACCCGCTTTCCTTATCAAATATGAACAGCCAATAAAGTATCTACACACTTGTTTCTAGTAATTAAAAACCATACAACAAATAGCGGAATGTTCATAGATTCAAAGATAGCCTCTAAGATCGTAAATGAAGTGGCAGGTTTGTTTCAAGCATTTTAATCTACATTCCCAAATACTTTTCTTCGAATAGAGCCCGATTATCATCATAACTATTTACAATTTGAAAACTGCCAATGATCTGGGACTTGACAGAAAAATACAGAAAGGAAAATGTGCTCATGAAAACATTTAGATCAACAGTACTAATTTTGTCCATCGAGCACATTCATGGATTTTCAACGGCTCCATTGTAAGCTAGTTAACACAGAATTGTAGGTACAAATTCAGCATTCTGGGTGGAATCATTAAAGCAAATGGGAGTCTTCACCTCAAATCTTTTTAATGGGATCTCTATTAGGATTTGATGAAATCTTTTTGTGAAGATGGCACAAATTTCTCTGATGGTTCCATCGTGATGTTGGGGTTTTGTACACAAAATGACATAGAAACACAGATGGAGCAATGCAATTATCACGGAACTCCCAAACATGAGTTACTGGTATTCCTATTAATTGGGTAATGAAAGAAAGTAGATGAACAGTAGTTCATTATATAAACTCTGCTTGAGAAGTTTAAACACACCTTGTGCAATTATAAGGATTATAGAAGCTGAGCTCGAGGAGTTTACACTGTATGCTGAGCTTGAGGAGTTTACACTGTATGAAATGTTTATTTGAGATCTCTCATTCAAGTAATATATCCACTCCTGTAGCATAGAAAAGAATCAACTCTAGCACCATTACCCAGAAAAGTAAAAGGTTCGAGGACAAACTTAATGAAATAGCTTGCCTTATGTGAACCATAAGGTAGATAGGGAGTATGAGTATCGGACCAAGTGGAAATGACGTCAAGAGGAGGAACATTGTAAAATCCATATAAAGTAGTCCCAAGCTTTGCATCATCTAAATCTTGCGCCTGTTGTAAACAAAACACAATCCGCATGGCACCAAAAACAAACATTAGTGAAATAGCATAAACACGTTACATATTTTCAAAGTGAGTCCGCAGTGCCACCTTACCTTTATATAATCAACAAAGAAGGGGTTTGGTTGTATTAGAAGCGAGCAATTTGGTCCAAATTGTAAAGTCACGGTACCGTAAACCCCCAACATCAGAGTCATAGATACTGAAGTCAAAATTAACGCAAATTCAAAACCAAATAAACTCAAATTGATCAGAGCTTTAGCTAAACAGCACAATTAGCATTCACAATCAGCATAATTAACACAATTAGCTTTCATAATCAGCATTCATGTCAAGATATTTATATATACAAAGAGATTTTTTACTAAACAACACAATTAGCATTCACAACACACTACACGCGCACAAGCATTCACAACACAATCTCTTTATATATATATAAAAGAGATTTCTTTGGTAAACAACCCAATTAGGCAATTAGCATTCCTGAATGCACGCATAATTATACAGGGAAGGAGGTTTAAGATTAATTAAACAGCACAATTAGCATCACATCGATATATATATAGAGAGATAGATTTTTGCCAAACAGCACAATAGCATACATATATATAGAGAGAGACATTAAGATCAAATGAACAGAAAAGTAAGCATTAACATCAATATATATACGCGCATAGTGAGAGATTTTTTGCTAAACGGCACAATTAGCATTCTCAAGTCAATACACGCATATTTATTTATATAGAGAGAGATTTAAGATCAATTAAAAACGAACCAAAGAACCAAAAGGTGAGGACAACGATGATACAAGACCAGGTATCGTCTCTGATCAATCTCGACGTCTCTTCATCGGTCATAGGGAAGTCCATATTATAGGAAACGCCAGTCTCTTGCTGAATCAGCTGTGGAGCTTGCCCAATATCCCCTGTCTCCTCCTCTCCCTCACGCACACGCGAAGAAGAAGACGATGTCGATGTCTCTGTAGTCCTCGAAGCCCACGGCGATGTGGCCGACGAAGAAGAAGCGGGAATTGATGAAGTGTGAGCTGATCCCTCCATCCTGAAACACCACAAATCTAGAGAGAGATGGGTGAGATTGAAGGGATAGGTGAAAACCCACACCCTAACCCTAGTTTTGTTATGTAACGTACCTGAAAAGTTGGGTATAATCCATTGAAGAACAAAGAAGAAGGGATGAGAAACCGAATATTTCACCAATCAGTCGTTTCAATCTTTCTGTGTGAGACTGGTAGTTGTGAGCGGAGAGACGGTTAGGAGAATTTTTATATCGCGCAGTTCAACGTGTGAAGTGAAGTGAAGTGAAGGTGGAGGATACACTAGTGAGCATATTAAGACACGTGTAAAAACACCCCACTTAGGCACTTACCTTCTCCTATTGAATCAAAATATTTACTAGGTGTCGGTGATATTGTCATTTTATCGTCTTACCCTTAAGTTGTTTAAATACTTTTCGATAAAAAAACGCAAAAATCCAAAATTATTGAGAATTTAAAACTATAATCAAGATCAACAAAACTAATTGAGAGAAAAATTTGTTGCAAAATTATGTTTGGCAAAGAAAATTAGTGTAAATTTTCAAACAAGAGGAAATGTCTCAGCAATTAGTTTGCTGGGTTCAGTTTCAAAAAAATAAATTTATATTATCACAATGAAATTTTTTTTTTTTTTTTTTTTTTGTCAGTGACAAATGACAAGAAACTCACACATATTTTGTAGAGACTTGGACCTTGACCATTCTCTTTTGAAGGTAGAAGGGATGTTACTGACCATGAGGCTCTTGATGTATATTGATGTATATTATCATGATAGCAGTTAACTTAGGAGTGACAAGATGGGTTATGACCCACCAAATCGTTTTTATTCGCCCGCTTAAAAATATATGCGGGTGAACTATTTCACTCATTATATAAGAAACCCAATTTCACAACCTCTATTTGACTCAAATTCATCTCTTTCTTTCTAAAATTATCTCACAATCCCAAATTATCTCTCTCTCTCTAAGATTATTTTTGCATCATATACTCCTCGAGTCCTCGTGTACGTAATACTACAATTCAAAATAAACCTATGTTTACATCTGTATTTCAAAGGAAGACGGCATGATTTATTCATTTAATTATTTATCCTATAATATATAATATCTTACCTTCGTTCACGTCTAGTCACAAAATAAAATAATATAAATTTAATGAATTTTCAAAATAAATTAGAGGATTTACAATTATTCATACATATCTTTACAAGCTTTTATCTATCTAAAATAAAAAACTATAATAATGAGATTATTTAAAATAATAATATTATTTTTTCCCTAAAACAGGTTGGTGGGTCATGATGAGTTGATCAGACTCATTTTCATCCAATTCATATTTAACTCGTTACGAGCGGGTTGAATGAGTCCCAACCTATATTCGACTCCATTATATTTGACACTGCCCAAACACAACCCAACCCAACCCGTCCATTTGCTACCCCTAATATTTATGACGTAAATTACTCTATTTTCAATTTTCTAAGTATACGAATACATGTGTCCATGAATATATGTTCCTGGACTTGTATAAATAAATATATATAAATATAATGTAATGTCAAATAAAGTAGAGGTGTCTATTCGGCTCCTCAAAACAGGGAAACAGCTAACTTCCAAAAACTGTTCACATAGACGAATGCAGTTAAATAAAGGTATGCTTGGAGAGATTATAGGTTGTGTGATAGATATGGTTGCACCAAACACAAAGGTGATTTGAAGAAAGAGAAATGAGGGGAGGACATAAATGCCACTTGATTCAATCTCAGATTAGAAATGGGAGAACTGGTGAAGGGGAGGGGTCTGAGCATCAAGGAGCCTCTGATAGAAAGTTCATGGAAATTTATTGGCTTTTTCAAAAGAAATTGGTACAAACTCAGGAGAAAGCTCGGGATATAGCTAGAAGATGAAGATATGGAGAATTTATTTTTTCATTATTTTTTTGCAAAAAAAGGAATATTTTGTCAGATAGATACAAGAATTATATCATGTCATTGCAAGTTGCAACTTTAGGGCATGGCTAGAAGAAGAAGAAGATTCAGGCAATTATATATGCAAAATCCAAGAGATTGTATTAAATTACATAAGAATTTCATGTAATGTGATGATGCAATGAGTAATATTGGTTGCATGGTTGGGTTTCATTTCTGGTTTAATGAAATATGGATTTGAATCTTGTGTTTTTTTATTATTACATGATGAATTCAGGCCTTGTTTGTTTGAATTTTGTAGTCGGGTTATAGAATTTTTGTATACAAAATATTCAGAATGGTGACAAAATGAAACAACGAAAAGGATTAAACCCCAAACTTTTAGCTCCTTCCTGATCTTGTATGCATTAAACCTTCAATATAAATAAGTTTAAAATAATCAAGCATTCCAATCAATACCCATTTTTATTTATTACTACTTATTTTTGCAAACGAAAACATAACAGTAATCAACATTTGCTCTCACTTGAGCTATGTAATTATTACATTACCATTGTGTTATCTGATTGCAACCATTGTTGTCAGAACAAAAAGAAAACCTCTGTGGCCGTGACAATGCGTTAAAAAAAAAGACACTAACCGATGAAAGAAAAAATTTAAGATTTTTAATAAATAACATTAAAAATTACTTCATAAGAATTATAATTCGACCAAGAACCTGTCTGACTTGATACACTCTCAAGATTACAAATGTAATGGAACGTAAATGTAATCTACAGGTAATGTCTTTTTTTTAATCAAATTATCATAAACCGGCTCAAACAAAAAAAAAACACATTTATAAACATCAACACAAACATGAAAGGACTATTCATTTCTATAACTTATCCATAAATTTTGTATGCAGGTTTCTGAAAGGACAGAAAGTGGACCGGGCCACTCTCGGGCCGATCCACCAAGCCTGGAGCACTATTGGGCCGTTAGGCCACACACAAACCAATCCATTAGGCCAGGGCCCAATTTCATCAGCACTGTGGGCGGGGTTTCCTATCTAGTGTGACCCAGGAAGAAGACACAGCCCAGAAAGGTCCAGGCTTGAGAGCCAAGAGAGGAATTTTGGGTAAATCTAACCTTCTATAAATAAATAAAAGTTAATAAGAGAGAAAAAGAGAGATTATATATAGTGTAATATTAGAACAAATTTATTGCATCTTCAGTTTCTATTCAAAAATTAATAATAATGGAATTGGGAAAAAGGGGTTTGCGTGTGCGCGCATTTTTGTGTATATGTTTTATATTAGTTACAGATTATATAAGCAGACTCATAACCCAACCTTTATTTTTATCATAATTTTTGGTATATAAATTTTCTTCTTACTTTATTTATTTATTTATAATTAATTACAATTGACTAATTTACTCTATAAATCATTTTTGAAAATAATTGCAAATAAGAAAGTAATAACTGGCTTAAGATTACTCAATATTGCTCTAGAATTAAAGAGTCATAGTTCCATCCAAAAAAAACGAGTCATAGTTGAATTTTTTTTTTAGGTAACAAAATTTCTATATATAATTAAATAGAGCAATTTTACTGATAGGAACAAATTGGTTAGATATCCATATTAATATGTGTGTATTTTTTAAATCATATACCCAAGGAAGTCAAGGTGGAAGAATCCCCACTGGAAGCCAAAAGTGATATAAGGTCACTTGTTTAAAAATGAAAAACAAATATCTTGGTCGATATATATGTGTGTGTATATATTATATATATAAGAAATTTATGGAACTGGAATATGAAAAATTGAAGAAGAATGAGGATGCCATATACATTATAGAACACTGAAAATCAAATTGCTCATCCCTGTGTTCATGACTGCTTTGCTTATTATTGTCATACCATTGCTATAGAACTAATGCATAAGCAAAAATGTTTGAAGTTGAGTGTAGGTGTGTTTTTAAACAAAAATGGTAATTTTTTTTCCATTTACCTTTTTTTTTTTTTTTTCTTTTTCATTTTGTTGCGTGTATTGTTTTTAAACAAATATGGTAGTTTTTTTTTTTTTTTTTCGAATAATGCGAAGATAGATATGGATATATAGATTTTTCCTTTTACGTTTATTGTATTTGGTTTTTAGTTTTAAAATAAATATGATACCATTTTTTTTTTTTTTTTTTTTTGTGTTGGAATAATGTGAATTAGATTTTAGAACTTTCGGAAGGACATTTTTTTTTTTTTTGGAAGGAAAGGCTCCTTTTTAAATAGCGGGTGCTTTTTATTTTTATTTTTTCTCTTTCACATTTTTACCAAATTGTTCATCCATGTGTTCATGTGTGCTTTGTTTGTTATTGTCATACCATTACTATATAATTAATGCATTGTTTGAACAGGACGGTAATCCCATTTACGTGTTTCATCACCTCGGTAACAACCAAAATAATTATTCAGATAAATCACAAAACATACCTTGTGACTATAAATTATCACATAATTTAAGAAAATATTTATTAGAAAACTTATGGACAAATGAATCATCAAAGAATTTTAAAATACTATTATGAACCATTATATTGACATAATAATTTGTTGTAATGGCAAAAAAACAAAAGATTTGTATGAATATATAGTTAATATATATGTTAATAATTTTTCAAAATTTAAAATAAGTAAAAATGTTTGAAAATGGTGGTAGTGTGTTTTAGAAACAAAAACGATATATATATATTTTCCTTTTTGTTGCGTGTATTTGTTTTATGTTTTTTTTCTTTTCATATATTTTTTTTGTTCGAATAATGTGAATTAGGTTTTAAATTTTTTTGTAATGGTGGGAACGGGTATTTTTTATTTTTTTTTACATTTTTTTTAATTTTTAAAAAATAAAAAATATTAAGAAAATAGAAAATAGATATAACATCCCGTTGAAAACAAAAGACTCCAGCTGTGTCATAATCATAACATGGATGAACCTGTATTTAAATCCCAATTCCATCCCCACACCCGCTGCAATTCCTACGCGTCATTGACTTTTGTTTCGAGGGCATAAATGTGATTTCAACATAACACGTTAACCCCACATCAAACCGTCACTGGGGAAACCCCTACCCCTTCTCTCTCTGCTTTTGTAAGAACCTCTCAAAACCAGATCTACGAAGCCTCGTTCTAATTCAAATTACACAAACACGAACCCTAATTTATTCAAATCTACTCCGATTCGAGCCATTTAAATCACAGCATAACGAAACCCTAATTTATCCAAATCGATTCGAATCGACTCTGATTCGAATCGTGAGCACTAACAATGGGCGATTTCAACCTCGCTCTCGTGATCGTAGCCATAGTAGTCTGCGTCTTGGTTTTCCTCTTCAATGTCTACCTCCTCGTCAACTACCAACACCCCGACGATGCCAACCAGGCTTACTTCCCCAAATTCGTCGTTGTCTTGGGCCTCTCCGTCGCTGCAATCTCCATCCTGATGTTACCGGCCGATGTTGCCAACCGGCAGGCTTGCCGGCACGCGATTTACAACGGCGCATGTAACCTCACCTTGCCGATGAAGGATCTGTGGCTCGCCATTTACATTCTCGATGCTATTCTGGTCTTCTTCGTCATACCGTTCGCTATGTTCTACTACGAAGGCGATCAGGACAAGTCGGTACATTTTAGGATTTTTCATATACAAGTTTAGAGGGTGTATATTTGTATGTATATGCGTTTGTTTGTGTATGTAATGTTGCTGTTTTTGTATATAGGAGCATCGGCAAACGGATTAAAAGCGCATTGTTGTGGGTGATAATTACAGCTATTGTTTGTGGTCTAGTGCTCGGAATCTTGTATGGTTAGTTTTCACTTGCGTATCTGATTATTTAGATGTTTTTGGATGTTCTTTAAACAATTATTTGCAACTATTAGCTCCACGGTATATATGTTATGATTCTGATCTGTGAGGTAGTTTTTTTTTTTTTTTTGAACTTTAATAATTGTATTCAGTGTTTTTTTTTTTTTTTGAACTTTAATAATTGTATTCAGTGTTTGACAATGCACGTTGGGATTAGGCTACATTTGATGCCATTGTCTATCTCTATGTCTTTGAATTCAGCTGTTTCTTATTCTTCTCAAGTGTCAGAATGTTATTTCGTTGCCTCTTCATCAAGAATCAAAATCATTTTATTATGCTGTCTCAGTCGTCTTCGAATGGAATTGTGGTGGAAATGTTCTGGAAAGATATCTGAAAATACTGGAAACACATGGAAAACTTGGGAACTTAAAAGTAGAATGTATATGAAGATGATGGAAATAATTGGTTTATATGTTTCAGTCATACAGATACATCGACACAAGAGGTCATTTGGATGGAATCGGGAAGTAAAAATACATATTCGGAGTCCCCAAAGAAATCACAAACAATTATTTACCAATAAAAGAGTATACTCTCTTGGATAAGAAGTGAGGAGGGAAGAGGAGGGGCTTCTTAACCCTTGAGACTTCCCTTCTTGCTTTCTTCCCAAACGCTGTCACCCATTTTTTTCCCTTTCTTCTGATACTCACTTCAATTTTATTCCATTCCTTTTTTCTGTCTTTCCCACACATGAGGAGTTTGCACTATTTCTTTTTTCTTTTTTCTTTTTTCTGTTACCTTTTTCTTCTTATGACCTACCAAATAAAAGGAGGTTTTATTGATTTCATTTCCTTTCTTTGCTTTTTCCCCTAATGTTACATATGTAAAATTACATTATCACCCCTCATCAATTTTTGTAAAATTATAAAATGATGGTATAGTATTAAAAAGAATATAAAATACATCCTTATCTTTCCTCTTATTAAACAATGAAAGGTGTCACCTCCTTCTATTTCCGTCCACTTAACCAAGCAAGAAGAGAGGAGGGCACTTTCCCTTCGAGAAATCTCATCCATCCTTCCTACCTTCCCTTCTACCCATTTTTCCATCCTTTTTACTAAACAAAATATAACTATTAACTGTGCTTTCCTTCCATTTCTTTTCGTTATTGAACTGGTTAAATATATTATAAGTTACAGAAGTATAACACTGAAGTAAATTTTAGAAGTCCTGGAGTGTAAAGTATTGATTCGAATGTATGAAATGGATTGATGATGGATGCTAATACATAGTCATTCATTTGGCCATAGCATCATATGACTTCTCTGGTCTTTAATCAAGTTGTTTGTTTTTATTTTATTTGTCCCTTTCATTTTTTGTATTTTATAATTCCTTAATTTACACTAGTGTGATTAAACTAGGGTGGAAATTGTTTCCTAGCGAGTTGAGGCATCTTGTGTTGGAGATTTATAATTGCCTTGATTTTGTTTTGACATGTTGGCTTTGTATAACTTACCTTTTTCTTTTTTGATTGTTTTAGGGCTTGTTGGAAAGGTGGATTTCACTGTTAGGCATCTCTCTTCAGCCACTACTTCCTTTCCAAGTACATGGGACTTCTCTAGTAGTCAACAATGCATTGGAAGCGGTGCACGGCAGGTTAAGAAACAAATTACCTTTATCTTTTTCAATAATCCTTTTCATTCCTTTTTATTTGCTTAGCATGGTATTGCTCAGTATTAAATCATTCTTTAAATCAGCTGGGCTTCTACTTCATGATTCTCATTTTTCATTTTATTTTCCAGTGTTCAGCATATACTGCAAGTGCTTCGTCAGAGAAAACATGGACTATGCAGACTACCTTCCCAGAATACGTTGTTGCTCTTGCTACAATTGTTGGATCTGTTCTTTTCTCTGTATGTGATATTCTTTTCATTTTCATATCTCATGTTTACTTTTCTCCAATATAATTTGAAGGGGTGGTATCCTGCTTCTTCTATATTTATCAATGATATGCACAGTACTAAGGTACGGTATTGAATTGCGTCTGAAGGGGAGTAAGATAAAATGGTTCTGCACCACATGGTGGAATTTTAATGGTATTATACAGAGAACAAGACCCCAAGGTTCGATGAAAAAAATATGAGTAAATTTCATGGACTGTCCAGAAGGACTAAAAGGAAGGACTAAAAGGGTTGTCTGTTAAATTATTGGAAAAAGTGTCATTTGTCTGTTAAATTATTGGAAAAAGTGTCATTTGTTAGATCTGGATATATTTCAAGTTTATCTTGTTCACAAGAGTTTTATGCCTATATTTTTGATCTCTCATTGGTCTGTAGATATTTTATGCTTATAGAATTGATCTCTCATTGGCATCTCTCATTGGCTTGTAGATATTTGGCGGTGTTGGCATTGCTTGTCTGCCATTAGGACTTATATTTTCATTTATTAGGCGTCCAAAGGCTGTTATCACTCGTTCACAGTATATCAAGGTACGTCTTGCTGTGCGCATAATGTATCTATTTGAATTTACATACCTAACACCTTTGTTTTGTCATGATGGATAGATGCATACTTAAGTTGCTAATGGATGGTTGATTTCTATATACCGTAGGAAGCAACTGAGCTAGGTAAAAAAGCAAGAGAATTGAAGAAAGCAGCTGATGCACTTCATCAGGAAGAAAGGAGTGGTTCTAAGGGAAGAAAATGGCGTAAAAATGTTAAGGCAGTTGAAAAGGTATTTCAATTATATATATATGTAACCACTGGTACTTAAGCTTAGAGTTTCACATTTTGGGCATCAGGTTTATGTAATGTGCTGATCGTAAAATGGGATATCCTGAATATGAGTGCTCAAACCTCTATAAGCTTCTTATGTGCAGTAATAATGACTATTATGAGCTAGAAGCAATTTGATTTCTTTATGACATAAATTTTAATGATTAAAAGACTTCAGATCATTAATTTTTTGATGTTTTTTTTTTTTTTTTGATAAGTAAATTTAATTGAAGAACCGCTCAAAAGGGGAGCGAGACCCAAGTACAAAAACAAGGCCAAAACGCCTCAAGCCTTCAAAGAGGCCAAGAAAACAACCAACTCCTCTACAGATCGAACATCCTTCCCTGAAACCCAACAAAAAAGAGTGGAAAGAGTAGAGAACTTTTTTTTTTTAATAAGTAATAATAAATTAAAAAAGGTGTTCAATAGGGGAACGCGTCCCGTAGATATAAAAGAAACCGGTGTCTAATGCCCAAAAGAATCCAAAAAAGAAATTAAATCAACAGAAGAGGAACACGAACTTCTGTTCACATAAAAAAAGAGAACGAATAATAAAAAGTTTCAGTGTCGCTGTAGACGACTCATTCCCTTCAAACATTCTACTATTTCGCTCCTTCCAGATGCACCACCAAATACAATGTGGTACAGATCTCCAATAAGCACGAACACTCTTACTCACACGACAACCTCTCCAAACATGAATCAACTCCTTAGTAGAGCGTGGCACTACCCAACACATGCCAAATAGGCCAAGAATGAGATTCCAGCAATCGTGCGCTACAGAGCAATGCATTAGGAGATGATCAACTGACTCCCCATCCTGCTTACATAAACAACACCAATTAACAAGAAAATTTTTCCTTTTCCTCAGATTATCGATCGTCAGAATCTTACCCCAAACAGCAGTCCATACAAAGAATGCCACCCTAGTAGGAACCATAGAACACCAAATAGTCTTCCATGGAAAATCATAGGATGCAAAATTAGACAGACATAAGAACAAGGACCTTATTGCAAAACGCCCGTGAGAGGAGGGAATCTAAATCAAATTGTCATAACCCCTGCCAATTCCTTCTTGCCGATACAATTGATCCAAGAAAATGCTCACCTCTTCCAACTCACAATCCTGAAATGAACGCTGAAAATGAACATTCCACGTAATCCCACTATTATCAAGGTGATAACAGTTAGCTACTATGGCATGTTTATCAACTGCAATACTATATACTTTGGGAAATGTACGACATAAAGGCTGGTTCCCACACCAAAGATCATTCCAAAAACGAACGCAACTACCATTACGAACTCTGAATTTGATATGAGAGGAAAAGGCATCCCATCCTTTCCGAATGGATTTCCAAGCCCCAACTCCTCCCGCAATAGAAACCGGACACGTAGTCCATTTGCCAACATCTTCCCCATACCTTCAAGATACTAATCTGCGCCAAGGACGATGTCTTTCCTTCCCGTATCTCCACAACCACTTGCTCAGAAGAGCTTGATTAAAAGGAATCAATCGTCTAATACCGAGACCTCCCAATTTTATAGGTTTGCATACTTGCTCCCATCTAACAAGATGATACTTGAACTCATCTCCCCTTCCTCCCCAAAGGAAATTCCTTTGAATTTGTTCAATTCTATCAGCAATGGAGCATGAAATTTGGAACAAAGAAAGAAAATAAGTGGGAAGGCTTGATAAAGTGCTCCTAATAAGAGTTACTTTACCCCCCTTAGATAAATATTGCTTCTTCCAACTTGCCAACCTCTTTGTATACCTATCAAGCACAGAATCCTAACTCCCCACTAACTTGGAAGAAACCCCTAGGGGCAATCCCAAATAAGGGATAGGAAAGGAGCTCACCCTACACTTAAAAACTGCAGATAAAGAAGAGATGTCCTGTGCATTCCCGACCGGGGCAAGCACACTCTTGGCCACATTCACCTTTAACCCGGAAACTGCCTTAAAGCAAGCCAGAATGCATCTCAAATATCTAAGTTGAGACACATCTGCATCACAGAAAACCAGAGTGTCATCTGCAAATAGTAGATGTGAAATCTCCACCTGATTGTCAATATCTCTTCCCACCTGGAATCCCTTAATGAGACCAAAATTCTCTATCTGGTGCATAAGTTTGCTTAAGCCCTTCATAACAATAAGAAAAAGAAAAGATGACAATGGGTCACCTTGTCTTATACCCCGAGAGCACCCGAAAAAACTAGCAGGAGAACTATTCACAAGAATTGAGAACTTGACAGACGAAAGACATGTCTCAATCCATGTCCTCCATCTACTTCCAAACCCCATTCTTTTAAGCAAGTAGAGAAGGAAATTCCAGTTAACATGATCATAAGCTTTCTCAATATCAAGTTTGCATAGAACTCCAGGAACACCACTACGCAACCTTGAATCCACACAGTCACTAGCAATAAGAACTAAATCAAGAATTTGCCGTCCTCCAACAAAGGCATTCTGGGAATCTGAAATAATCCCATCCATAACTTCTCTTATTCTATGAGCAAGCACCTTAGCTATGAGTTTGTAAATACAACCCACTAAGCTAATAGGACGAAAGTCCTTAATATCTGAAGCGTTTCCCTTCTTAGGGATAAGAGCAATAAATGATGCATTGAGCGATTTTTCAAAAACACCAGTAGAATGAAACTCCTGAAAGGTACTCATCACTTCATTTCTCACAACCGCCCAACTTTCCATCAAAAAGCGCATAGTGAACCCGTTTGGCCTCTGGGCTTTATCCCCATCAAAAACACCAGTAGAATGAAACTCCTGAAAGGTACTCATCACTTCATTTCTCACAACCGCCCAACTTTCCATCAAAAAGCGCATAGTGAACCCGTTTGGCCTCCAGGCTTTATCCCCATTACAACTGGATAAGGCCTTAAGAACTTCTTCTTCAGTAAAAGGAAGCTCTAACCCATCTCTCTCCAGCACAGAAGTAGCCTCAAAAGGAAGACCATCAAGCTTAGGTCTCCAACCTAAAGGTTCTGTGTAGAGCTTTTGATTAAAAAAAGCGATCCCGCTGCGCACCTCTTCCTCCCTCCACAACTCCACGCCTTCAACCTGTAGACGTCCTATATGATTGCTCCTTCTGTGAGCATTAGCAAGTCTGTGGAAAAATTTTGTATTACGATCTCCCTCTTTCAACCAAAGAGCCCGGGATTTTTGTCGCCATGAAATCTCCTCCATACAAGCAATCTCAGCAAGAACTGCCTGACAGGAAGCTCTCCTAGTAGAAAGAGACTCCACATTCCCACTCGCCTCCTCAAGCCGATCAATCTCAGAAAAATCAGCAAAGACTCTATTCTTCCTCCATTCAAGATTCCCAAAGACATCCTTATTCCACTACTTAAGAGCGAGTTTGAGAGCTCTTAATTTCCGTGTTAATATAAAGCTGGGCGCACTTGTAACGAACGCTTCCTCCCACCAAGAACGAACTGCCCCTTGGAAGTCCTCCACTCTCAGCCACATATTCTCGAAACGGAATGGGGTTTTTTTATAACACAAACTCCCACAATCTGAAACTAAAGGAACATGATCAGAGGTAACCCTTTCTAAGACCGCCTAAACAACATCTGCGAATTTTTCTTCCCACTCCCTAGAGATCAAAAATCTGTCCAATCTTGAGAGAGTAACTGGGTCTCTACCATTAGACCAGGTATAGGTTGCACCTTCCATTAGTAGATCAATGAGAAGGTGTTCATCAATGAAGCCGGAAAACTGATCCATGTCTATAGACCTTCTTCCCCCAGTAGACCTCTCTGACAGGAACCTGACTGAATTGAAATCGCCACCCAAACACCATGGTAAAGAGCATAGTCCTTGAACGTGGCTTAGTTTCTCCCATAAAATAGGTCTCGTAGCATCATCGACCGGTCCATAGACCCAGAAAAACCTATCTGAAATTGTCCTCTTCCATCTTAAACTCACAGGAAACAGAAAATCTCCCCTTCCACACATTCATTCTGGACAACCACCTACTGTCCCACATAACTAAAATACCACCCGAAGAACCTGTAGCATCCAAGGCCTCCCATTCCACAAACCTTCCTCCCCACAAACTTCTAACCACTCCGTCAGTAATGGATGCCATCTTGGTTTCTTGCAAACAAACAACTTGGCCCCCATTTCCTTAAAGCTACCTTCACCACCCTCCTTTTATTCAGGTCATTGAGACCACGAACATTCCATGTAATGATTCGTAGCTTCATTAAAAACCAGTTGAGATTAACTCCCCTCCCCCCTTCTTCAAACTCCTCCTCCTAGTCCTGCCCCTTTCCATCACCACGCCTTTCTTCTTGTCGTAATTGACATCAGAGATGAGATTCTTAATCTCGTGAATCCCTTTCCAAGACGATATGGGCTTCGTGTTTGTAACTTCATTAGTGACTGATATCTCAGTTCCAGTCACAATTGCTTGAAGAAGAGATAAAGTCTTAGCATTATTACCTTCTGAAGAAACTCCTAACAACTCACTAGTAGTTCCAATGTTATCAACCACCCAATCCCTCCCCAAATTAGTAACCTCATCATCAGGTCTCACCACTGCCAGGGGTTCCACCACTGATATGTTAGAGTCATCCTTCAGCCAAGGTTGAAGCTTAGTAAAGCAGACCTGTTGGATAGATCCCAAGTCATCAGCCACCTCCTCTTCAGTCTTTCTGCCATACTCATAAACAGAATCTGAATCTGTAACATAATCACCCAATCCAACAATATTACCAACCTCATGCTCCTCATCCGTTGTAGAAGGCATACATTTAAGACCTTTCAACGCAACATTCAAACGTATCTCTTTGAACAGAGCCATAGCCTCATCATTGGATAGCTTAAACTGCAAATCTCTTCCCATATAAACTGTTACTCCTTCAGACAGATCATCTGCACTACCAACAGTAACCAACTGTCCAGGAGGATCAATCTTACAATCTTCCTTACCATTT